TCTGTTGATTTAGCTTTCTCATCATTTATTATTTCATTAGGTGTCATAGGAAGCAAGTTAATGATTTTTCCTTCAAACACGAGAGTATATGAATTTGTTCTACCATGATGGGTAACACCATTATCATATTGCCATGGTCGACCTAACAATAAAGAACAAGCTTGCATAGGTACAACATCACAGTCAACAAAATTATGATATGAACCAAGTGTAAAATGTACTCTCACACGACGCGTTACCTTTAACTTACCACAGTCGTTGAACCATTGGATGTAATATGGATGTGGGTGTCTTGTAGTGGTGAGGCCAAGCTTCTCTACCATCTCAATACTCGCCAAATTATTGCAGCTTCCACCATCAATGATCACACGAACATAATGCCCTTTGACAACAAACTTAGTTTGAAAAATATTATGGCGTTGAGGCATCTCAGTATGCCCAACCTGGGCACTAAGTACTTGCATGGTTACAAGGCTAGGGTATTGATCTGCCATTGCAGCATTTACATCTATCGCCTCCGTGTCATTCTCCTTAGTGTCACATGCATTATTAGTGGCAAGCATAGCATGTGTATCTTCATCCAAATCACTAGCTGAGGAGTACTCACCATCTTCTCGCACAATGAAAGTACGTTTATTTGGGCAGTCCTTCATCAAGTGCCCGCCTCCTTTGCATATATAACACTTCATGTCCCTTGTGCGTCCAGACGAAGTGGTGGGTGCTTGAGAAATTGCTCTCGATGCCCCAGAGGATTGTGGAGCTGATTTTGAACTTGTTGGGAGTGCACCATTGTTCAAGATATGTGGTGTTACCTCGGTAGTGGGTGGGATAGTAGGAGAGTGTGTCCATGATGAGTGACGACCTAAAAGTTACCTCGTCCCTTGTTATGTCGTCCCTGTACTTCCCTTTCAGCTTTACAAGCAAAATGAAACAAACGAGTAATAGAATTGTACTCCTTATAGTCCAATATATCCTGAATATCACGATTCAATCCACCTAAAAATCTAGCCATCATACCATCGTCGGTTTCAACTAATCCACATCGCACTAAGCCAGTTTGCAATTCTTGATAATAATCCTCAATAGAACTACTACCTTGTTTTAAACGTTGCAATTCATTTAGCTTATCATGAGCATAATATGAAGGAACATAACGTTGTTGCATAGCTCGTTTTAAAGCATCCCGAGTAGCAGGTATATTGTTCACATTAATACAACAATATTCACTCCACCACATAGAAGCAAAGTTTGTAAATTCACTAGTGGCTGCCCTAACTCTTTGGTTCTCAGGAATATCATGACATGCAAATTTTTGTTCAACTAAAAGTTCCCAATCAAGATAAACGTCTGGATTATATTTACCATTGAAAGCAGGCATAGTAAATTTAATTTTAGCACTAGAGTGGTTGTAATCTCGAACATCATACCTGTGTGGACCTCGTGCCATACCTTGACGGTTGAAACGCAGTTGTCGATTAGCACGGTCATTGTGGTGGTTGGCCATTTGGTCGTCCTCGGTGTCATCAGAATAATCCTCGTAATTGTCCCCATGTCGCTCGTAGACGCGAGGAGGAATTTGTGGGCGCTGGTTTATGGTGGCAGCATCGGTGGCAGTAGCGGGGTGCTGTGGATGACCCATGGGCACACGTCGAGCTCGCGAAGTAGCGGCAACACCCTGGAATTGTGAGGAACAGCGTTGTTGTTGATGGGGAGTGCAGTCCGCAGCTCGTCCAGACGTAACAAGATGTCTTGTAGTTGTGTGTTCGCAACACCCTGTGCATCCTCAATGGCCTTGAGCCTCTCTTCGGCCACAATCTGAGCACCCTCAAGTTGGGCGAGACGCTCGCTGGTGACTTTCACATCCGCAGTGAGGCCCTCAAGTTTGGGTTGATCCTGTGCCATTGTTAGCGAAAGAGAAAAAAACACAGTGTATAATTCCTATCAACTAGTAGGACGTGGTGAAGAAAAATCGCTCACACTCAAGTTTAGTATCAAATTCTTACTTGTTCTTACCAATGCAACAGGTGATGATCGGTGCGTTGGTGTTGGCTTACCAATGCAACAGGTGGTGATCGGTGCGTTGGTGTTGGCTTCAAATAACCGATGAAGATTGGATGGAGCGATAACTAGGAATCAGTAGTGTCGGGACCTGTACTTATTGGTAGGAAAGAGTGTAGCTTGGCAAAGGTTTCTCAACTTACAATATCAGTGGCACAATTTAGCAAAAAGCAATGCAAGTTGAATAATTACTCAAACTCCTAACTAGTGCTGGCAGTCGACTAGCAAGAGAGAAAACAATCTAAGCCCAGATACTAAATCAAATGAGGGAAAATCGATGAAAATATGATAGCTCCAAGTAGCTAGATATAAGTGAGGTATATCCGCAATGTATGACAAAGCTCGAAAATATATGATAGATTGAGTGGCGATCAAGTAGCAACAAAAATAATAGATGCTAGTCCAGAACAGAACAAAACAGCCCAGAAGAGATGCTAACCGGCCTGATTTGTTTTTTTTTCTATTTGTTTTTCACTTTTTTTGCTCTTTTTTCTTTCCTGTTTTTTTTTCACTTTCTTTTTTCTTTTTTTTTCTTTTTCTTTTTTTCCTTTTTTTTTTACCTGGCCGGTTGCCAAAGTATACACACGATTGAAGAGGATAACAGGACTAAAACAAAGGCTACTAGGAGCTACCGGTTGTACTACTGGATATTGGAAATTAATGAAATACCTGTGTCCAGGCACTTCCCAACTAGCAATAGTACAAGCAAGTAGAAAACGTATAAGGCAGACACAGCCGACAGCGATGGGTGCAATGATGGATGTTTACCCGCGTGAAGCAAAGGCGCCTGTAGATGGATGGACTCGTGGTGCAAGCGGACGACTAAAAAAAATGATGATACGAACACGCGTGAGATGCGGCTGCGGACACAGCGATATGATCGGCACTACACCGACGAAGATCTATTTTTTTTTTTTTTGATGAACAACCAACTCGGCAGAAAATCTTGGTAGACAAAAACGAGTGCGATCTAGTAGACAATTTTCTCTTAAACTAATCTAAACCAGCACTAATACCAGGATAAATGCAACCAAGAATTCAACGATGCAAATACTAGATGCAAATTGCTAAAGGCTAAAAAAGATAGGTGCAGCGGATGAACTAATCTAATTTTTTTTGGCTTTTTTTTTGTGGGTTGTAGGACTAAAAAACAATCTAACCTAATAAAATTGCAAATCTCTCACCGATGAACCTAGAAACTGACACGTGTAATATTTGTAGACGTATCTATGCCCACATCAACCTCACCTCCGCAGCTGAGGTACACGAATGCCGCCAACCGAAGAAGGGCAAAAGGTGCCACCTTTCGCCCCCCAAACTGCCCCCCTAGTAGGAAGAGGGCCCAACCAACCAGAATATAGGCAAGAGAAGGTCGCCAGCAGTGGCCGGCCACACCACAGCCACTACACCACGCCACCGGGGACCAGGGCCACCACCATGACCCATCTGGCACCTTCAGATTTCGGCAACGACAAAGGCCGGGAGGCACCCCTGCCTCCCTACCCGGATTGGCCCTGCCCCACCGGTCGGCCACCGACGCATCGCGTGTTGAGCTGTCGTCACCACCTAGCAAGAGCAGCCGCCGGACGACGCACCAAGTATCCGCGCGAAGGAGGGAAAGCTCACCACGGCCGCTCCGCCCCAACCACCCACCAGCAGACTGCCACGGCAGGGGGCGAATGCCCGCAGCCCAGGCCGACCGCGGCCCACACCCCGTCGACGGAGCCTACCGCAAAAGACGCCCCGACCACCACTTGTGCCCCTCTACCATGACACCCATCATGGGTCCGACACCCTTCGGCGTCGGAGCGCCGCCGCGCTGCAACGTGCCTGTCGCCCAGCTTTACAATCCCAACCAGCCGCCAAGTCCCGCGCCGAGGCCGCCGCCGCCGCCGGTGGTGGCGACAGGACATCGCCCGTTCGCGCCCTTAGGCTGCAACGAGGGAGGAGGGAGAGGTGGAGGGGAGGGCTTGGCGGGGATGGCAACTAGGGTTCCCCCTCGGTCGCGCGCAGGGCGTTGCGAGGGGGAGGGGGAGAGAAGGGGGTGTCCGGTTTCCCACACTTTGCTTTTCTGTCTCGGGTCTGAATATTTGGGTCCTTTCTTCATATGTTGCATTATGAAATGTTCTATATTTAAGTTACACAATTGTTTCTAATGTAGAGACACAAACAAACAACTTTGTTTGAAATTTGGTTGTAAAAATATGCACTTATACATAACCCGAGGTTAACATTCTCATTAGTTTTGTATCCAAGCCAGTTAATTCAAGCTTCCCAAGGTTATCATGTTCTTTCTATGTGGAGTTACTTTCTCTCTGTTGGGTGTTGTATTCAGCTTGCTACAACGGCACTTCCTTTCGCCGTTTCTCTAACCAGTTCATGTGGATGACCGAGGCACTGAACATTTTCTTCTGTCTTTAAAATCTGACTGAAATGCCCCCGCAAAAAAATCTGACCGACGTGCTTCATGCCCCATAGGATTAGAAATGACAAAATAAAGTCTAAATTCAGAAACTGAAACTTTGTCATATGTACTATTTATTCATCTATTGTCACCTCACTTATAGAGGATCGGATGCGGCAATGCGCGTCTTTTATTCGAGTACTACTACCTCTGTATAAGACGTTTTGCCAATTCAAGATAAACTTCCAAAACATCTTATATATAGGAACAAAGGGAGTATATATGTATGTATAATGAATATGCCCTTCAGAATTAGTGGTGGACAAGGTTGGCGTTCTCCAAATGGGTCAAAAACTTTGTTTTCCATTGCGCCATCAAGTTACAATGCAAGGGCCTCATGACATGAGTCTGATACGTGCACATCAGTAGCTTGCCAAAGGTCAAACTTGGCAATGGGAATTGCCTTGGCCCTAAACCCTAAAACTTGGCCGCCTTTGTGAGAATCGTCTTGGCCTTCATGTCGGTGAAGATGATGTTCCTACCGAGCCGTTGTACGGCGCCTGTGACGAATCTTGGCGGTACGGTCCTTGACCCTCTTGGCGTGCCCACAGAACTTGCGCAACTCATACTCGTCCATACAGGTAAAGTTGGATTCCTCTTCTAGTTCCAACTTTTTCATAGATAGCTCCTCATCTTCAAGTAGCGATTCTAGTTCGTTTCCAGGAAACTCGCCTATCCAGCAGGGCGTGTACGGGAAAGCTGTGTCCGTCTCTCCGCGTGGTAGCCCGCAGCTGGGATCGAAGTCTGCTGGACACACATTGCCCAGGTCCTGAAATTTTAAGTTGTTCCAATCATAGGCCATTCCCCTTGCTCCTCTCCCTGATGAAATCAAAAAGGCAATCTCTTTATAAGGATGAAATCCAAGAAAGTAAAGACCATCGTGATATCCCTCTCCAGCATTGTCTTCAATGTCAATGATGTTATCCTCGTCAGAGTTCCAATCATATTTCTCTTCCACCGGCGCTCTGTAATCTCCATATTTGTTACCATTGTGCTCAAAGAACCACTTACGATGGTTAACATCCTGTAAGATCCATCGCCTGCCCAGTTGGTCCTCATGTTCAAATATCTGAAGATGGGTATCATGTTTTAGCACCCACTCTGTTCGGCTGCATGATTCGTTGAGATACCAAAGCTGAAGAAATCCATCCCAACTACAAGATATTGCGAAATACACCCCTCTCACTGATCGCCCCAGATGGCGGTTGGGATGTTTGGCATTCGGTAGCTTAATTACACTGTACGTGTGATCTAACAAGGACATTCTGCAAAGAGTAACCAGTCGGATGCATGTTAATAGCAAGCAATCTAACCGAGTTATAAATTTGTTAGAGTAGAATGGTGACCAAGGAGAGTAAAAAATTACTTACCTCGTAAGATAGCCATGCTGGCAGTGGACGTACAGCGCGCTTTGCCAATAGACGGCACGATAACGATACCGATCGTCCTCTGAATCCGTGTGCATGTTGGCGACGATCCCTGCAGCCTCCCCTTCCCGAAGGAAGGTCGTCTCGTCCCACCGCTGAGTCGCGGACGAGAAAACATGCATCACGTATGATGCGGGAGGCCACTCTGACTCGAGCAACGGGTTGTCATCGTCGTCGTCGTCTGATTCGTCGGCGGCTGGCACGCATGGGATCAGAAAGACCTCGTAGTGCGACGACACGGCGGGCTCGAAAGCGAGGTAGGCGGTCTGGCCGGACCCCGGCACGTGCGGCCGAGGACGCTGGGGCAGACGCGTCCACCGACGCGTGGCCGGGTTGACGACGTACTCGCACGGCCGTGCATCGTCGGGGCTCTGATCGCGGCAGAGCAGGAGCCCGTTGCAGTGGTCCGTGACCTTGACGCCCATCGTGCATGGCAAGAAGTCCAGCCCTCCGCAGATCGCCGGGCCCGTCGAGGGGCGGGAGAAGAACTCCGAGAAGGTAAACCGGGGGAAGTTGATGAAGATGCCGCGTACGGAGCGCGAGAGCAGGTGGCCGCGCAGGCGGGCGTCGACGGTGTCGCGCCACGCCCTGCAGACCCGCCGGGACGAGCCCAGGCTGTGCGGCTCCAGGCGCCGGAGGACCTCCGCGATGACGTCGCCGGGTAGCATGGTGAGCTCCGGTGCCATGGTCGATCGATCTTTCTCGCCGCTCCCTCCTTTTAGTTTCCAGTCGTCTGCGATCGCGCACGCGACACACGCCGCAGGCTGCAGATGTTAACGAACTACTTGGAACGTGGTGCAATCTTGGACTTGTAACTAACGCGAGACGTATTCGGCCAGGAGTAGTGTACGGACGTATTGTAGGCTGTCAAACGGCGCAACTGTTTTGTTTTCTAGGACAACGGCGCAATTGACAAAGCTAAGAGGACGCTTGTGATAGCGAAGACTTTTTCCTACCCTAGCGGCCGCCACCACCAGGCGAATAGGGAGGCGATCTCTTTCCTCCGATCTTCACCGGTCGGGGCGCTGGCCCCCTCTCCCTTCGGCTGCTTGGCGGCAGGAGGAATGGGGACCCCGTTCCTCCGCTCTGTAATTAGATTTTGAATTTGTAGGTCGTGGTGCGTTGTTGAGGTGGTGGAAGCGGCGCCCGGACGAATAAATCTGCCTCAACTCCACTCCCACACTGGCGGTGCCCTTCATGGCGGCGTCTTGGAGTTGATGGCGTCGTGTCTCTGCCGATCCCACAGATCGACAGCGTTAGGGCTCATGGATGGTGTTGGCGAGGCGGCGGCGACGACTCCATCAGGTGTGTCTCTCCTTCTGCTCGGTCATCGTTGTTGTGGCGTTGTCTCCCGACGTCATGGTGGAGCAGGGAGGTTTTGTCGTTTAGGAGTACGCGCAGGCGGTTGTCTGTGCAAGTGACAACTGGAAGATGGAGTTTCTTCGTGCTGGGTCTGTGTTCGAAGGCTGGCAGTTCTGGTTTCCTCCTCCGACGTAGTCGTCATGCGGGGGTGTCAGTTTTGAAGTTCGATGCGTGTCCGAGGACATGTTGCCCCGATCTGATTCTTTCAATGGCTATGGTTTTGCTTCTGGCAAACTACTTTGAAAGTCCGTAAAGCTGCTGATCAGCGATGGAGCCACGTCGAGCTTGGGTGAAGAGGTGATCTGTCTTTTTACCCTTTGGTGGCCGCTCGGTGGTGTCGAAGGAAAAGGGCAGGCGCTGGTATTTTGCATAAGATTTTCCTATCTTTTCAGTTATGTATGATCGATGCTTACATGCCTTGTAATATGATTTTTATTCTATATAAATGAGACGTGTATTACCATGCAAAGAAATTTTTTTTGATATATATGCAATACTTGTCTAAAAGAACTGTCTCTAAAAAAATGTATTGCAATATGGCCAGTTTTTGGGTAATATGGCTTTTTTCTTAAGATTCACCTGTAAGTTTATTCATGCTCATAACAATTACTAGAAAACCTTCTTCACAGTATCAATCTCTGTTAGAAGAAATATCCCAAAGCCTTCGATAAAAAGACTGCAATTAGATTGGAGAAACAATATTGACACTTTTTCACCCGCATGAACATTATCAATAATAATATTTGAAAACGCCTTGAGTCGCCTGTCCAAAAAGATGGGAAGTCTTGATCGCTGAACGTACTTGGGCTGGGGATGATCACCTAAAAGTGCGGGCCATCAGATCACAATATTTTCACCTTAATATCGATAAAAGGTTTCAACTCCACAAAAATTCGAACCAACAAAAAAATTGACACACCAATATAAACTCATCCGACCCGAATATAAATATGGCCAGTTAGTTTGATACATTGGCACCACACATTTCTGTATGGGCCGGCCCATCTAATCATCTCCCACAGTTCCAATTTTGGGAAGTTTCTCAAACCTTTGGCCCAGTATTCCTGAGGTTTTTCTTCTTCTGTGTTTCTATGCTGGTTTTACTTGGTTTTGTCTGGGTTTCAAGTTACTTTTTATTTTCGTTCTTGTTTTTGTGGTTCATTTTTTAATTCGTGATTTTGTTCATATTCCTGAAACTTTGAAAATTTTATCCAATTTGTCGAAAAAAATCAAATTCACAAACATTTATTAAATCATATTTTTTTTAAAATTCATGGAATTGTTTTTAATTTTGATGAAAAAACAAAATCCTTTTTTAATTCATGATTTTTGTAAAAGAATTGACAATTTTTTACATTCATGGATATTTTAACATTCACAAACATTTAAATTTTGTGATATTTTTAATTTTTAAAGTTTTTTTTCATAATTTTTAAAAATATATAAATAAACCAATATTCGGGTTTTTTAAGTAGCGCTTTCTGGTCAAGAGAAGGAAACGCAGCGAACCTATAGTACAATTACAGCGAACAGAGCGATCGGTAATGGGCCTATAACTCTTGAAACCGTTCCTGGTTTTAGGTAGCTGCATTCAATTGGTTTTGCTCGGTTTCCTCTTTTTTGGTTTTCAGTTCGTTTCTTTCTTTTTCTTTTTTCCCTTTGTTCATGTTTATTTTTATTTTCCCTTCCTTTTTGGTTTTAATTTTTAGGAACATTTTCTAAATCCATGAAATTTTCTAAATTTGTGCATATTCTTCAACTGCCCAAACTTTTTAAAATTTGTGATAAAAATTCAAATCCATGAAGATTTTCAAATTCACAAACTTTATTCAAAATCTGGGGACTTCTATAGTTCTTGAACTTTTTAAAAACCCGTGAGCATATTTAAAATGTTCTTTTAATCTACTCCCTCCTTTCCTAAATATTTTTCTTTTTAGAGATTTCAAATGGACTACCACATACGGATGTATATAGATATATTTTAGAGTGTAGATTCATTCATTTTGCTCCGTATGTAGTCACTTATTGAAATCTCTAGAAAGTCAAATATTTAGGAACAGAAGGAGTATAAGAAAACTACAACCTATTTTTTTTAGAACGAGCTAGCCTAGCATAGCTTCTTTTTTTTTTTTTTTTGAGGGCAGCCTAGCATGGCTAGCGATGAAAAGTTCAACCCAAGCGAGCAGCAGCAAACAGACTGCTATATGGATCACGTCCCGCTAGGGCACGCGTGAGCCGAAAATGGCGAACGGTGGACGAGCACTCTGCGGACCAAATCCTCCCCGTCCGTTATCCTTACCGATCAGATCGCGCCCGGTATTTACGCTCGCTGTCCCCCGTAGAGCCTTGCCACCGCTTGTATCCCGGCACCCATCTCTAGCTTCTTATCAAATGGCCGTACCGTGCGACGTGCGCGACCGGGTGACCAATGACACTTGATGTGATTAGCCTTTTTCACAGTCCGAAGTGACGTGGCTGTGTATCAGATTCACTACCCCACTCACGTGACCACATTGAATAATAATCCGCCATTTAAGACCAGGTTGTTAGTCAGCATGGTGTAGAGAGAGTATCATATTAACGGTCTTTAAGTCGAAAATGCAATTTGGTGGACTTTTTGAAAAAGAAATCCACAACAAAAAGGAATTATACATACAAAACTGCAGCCATAACACGTTTAAGAAAAAAAAATAGCGGGTATAAACTTGCATTACTCAAGATAGAAGGTTACAATCAGCCACAGCCAAGTCTAGGGAATCAGAAGGCCCTGATCCAATCCAGGTAAGAGGTCTACCTTCTACCCTAGCAAACCTTGCCAAACTATCACTAACCTTATTTTGAGTCCGTTTAACAAGAGTAATATAAGTTCTACGTAGGCCCATCAAGTGCCTAATTTCTTTCACGACAGCGTAATAAATCGATCTATCCAAATCCTCTGACTGGACCAGCTTCACAGCCACCATAGAGTCCATCTTCATTATAATGGGCACTTCACTCCTTTGGATTGAGAAGGAAAGTCCCTCCATGCACGCGCATAGCTCCGCTTCCAAAGCATCTCGACAAGAGAAAAGAGCTCTGCAGGCCGAGAAAATGATTGTACCTTTGTCATTCCGTAGGATCATGCCCGCTCCCGCTGCTCCATCAACAAATGACCCATCCGAGTTTAGTTTTACCCATCCAACCGGAGATGCGCTCCACCTAGCCTCAAGGGCCGGTGGTTTTGGCCTATCTGCTTGCATATAAGTAACAATTGATTTCCCCTTAACATGGTCATCACACAGGTCCATCTTGAGCCCAATGATAGAATCCAGGTAGCTTACTAGGAACCTTTTCGATGCTTCCGCCGAGGGAGGCAATTTATGATGAACAACTTCATTACGGACATGCCAACAACGCCATAAAGTCATCAGCAACATGGTTCGTTCTATGTCAGGGAGGGGTTCAAGTGCATGAAGTAACCATTCTTTGCATGTGTTAACTACACAATCAATATCCGGCAAGGCCAAACTTCCGCCATTGCAAACCAAAGAATGGCACCGTACAAACGGGTGGAAATTATCCTCCACTTCAGCTGCACATAGCGGACACCTGCCATCAACTTCCAGGCCCCGTTTGCTTTTATTTTGCCATGTAGGAAGGGAGTCAACAACCACTCTCCACGCAAAATTTCGGATCGTGGGGGTACATCACAATCCCATATGAACTTCCACCCTCTTCTTCGACCATCAGGAGCCGAGCTCGAGCCTGTAACAGTGTTACGGTAAGCTTGCTCAAAAGCAAAATCGTAGGCGCTTTTAACTGAGAATCGGCCATACTTGCTCGGACCCCATGCAATGACTTCCTCCTCCTGCCTAGGAGATGCTCTAATTTTGTTTATCTCCATAACATCAGCCGGCAAGAAGTAGTTCTGCAGCACTTCCTGATTCCACGAGCCATTGATGTTCAGCAAGTCGGCCAAAAAACGTATCCAACAAGTCCCTTGAGTGGTAATAGGTTTGAAAGAGTGTGGTCTTGGGATCCAACTATCTCGCCAAACACGGATACTTCTTCCATTGCCCACTCTCCACAAAATGCCTTGTTTCAAGAGATCAAGACCATGACTAATGGCCTGCCAAGATGATGATGCATTTCCACTAAAAATTGTATCAATGAGATTGCCTTCCGGGTAGTATCTAGCTTTCAGAATCTGCGCACATAGGCTGTGCGGCCTGATGATAAGTCGCCAAGCCTGTCGAGCAAGCAGCGCTTGGTTGAACAGCCGAAAGTCCCTAAAGCCAACACCCCCTTTACTCTTTGGTTGCATTAAGTTTTCCCAAGAGCGCCA